TATGAAATAAAATAAAAAAAAGATTACTCTGTTCAAACTTGACCTACTTTGAATATTGCAACGAACTGTAAATAAATTAGGTTGATATAGTTATCTTTTCAGAAAAGTATCACTAAAACAAAACCTATGTTTAGAGCCCTGCATATCCGCGGATTACCCCCGCAGGTCATCCGCAGTGAATGGGTCGATGCGGATAAAAATGAATCAGATTTGGCAGATTACGGATGTGGATGCGGATGCCAGGGGCTGCGGATACGGATCGGATGCCGATAACCGCGGGTCCGAATCTACATTTTTGTCGGGGCGGCCCATAAACGTGTGACGTGAATAGGTGAGTGACAGTAGAAAGTGCATCATCGAATATACTGAGGGAGAAAATTACTCTCTTAGAAAAAAAAAGGTTCCCATCGGAGAGAAAATTGTTTCTTACGCCAAGAGTTGATTTTCACGACAGTTAACTTAAAGGCCCGTTCACACTCTTGCGACCGAGTGAGACGAGGATGGTTTTTAAGCCTTTTGCGACCTCTAAGGACCAGCTCCGCTGCAGCGCATCCGGTCCTAAGAAGTCGCAAAAGGCTTAAAAACCGGTCTCGTCTCTCTCGGTCTTACTCGGTCGCAAGAGTGTGAACGGCGCTTTAGAGTTCTATCTCGCCAAAAATGCTGTCCCTAGAAAAAGTTTAAAAAATAAATAAATAAATAAAAACATGCAGGGGCATCAACCGTCACGGGAAAGCGTATTCTTCTTTGGCAGAAAAAGAGGAGAAAACGTTTTTCGGGCAAAGAAAACCCAACACATACAGGCCACAAGAAAGTAAAAGCCTCATCGAGAAGAGAAACCTGGCAAGTGTGCGCGTGCGTTTTTCGCTCTCAACAGTTGACAAGTTGCTGCTAAGTATGTGGTTCGGAGCACGCAGTTGCGGGTACGTGTTTAAAACTTAAACTAATAGCATGTGCTGCCAATATTGAATACCGACATATTTTCCCAGTCATATAAACGAGTACTTTTTTTTTAATTTTTTTTAACTAAATAAAATGACAATGTTATTAGTCTGTCTGGTGTTAATTTTAATGGTCAGAACATACGCATCTGCTTAAAGTGGGTGTTATAAGTAAAAAAAAAAAAAGAAGAAAACATATTACTATTTCTTTCCTTTTGAGCGCATTTTCTGGGAAGAGTGTCGCAGACTCCCAGGACGATCTCATAACTGAGGCAATCTTTCCAGCGACGCGAAGCGTCTCTGTAAGGACGATCGCTTATATATCATTACGATAAAACAAAATACGATATGTCTTTTACCGTATTCTGACTCGAAGAGTTCTTTGTACAAAAATAAGCAAACGGCTTATAAGGTACCATCGAGCAGTGTTGCGCAATGAGCACTTCCATTCCATTCCAACTTCATTCTAGGGAATTGGATTTTCTGATAATTCCATTCCTTTGAACTCCTAGGAATGGAAACACAGGGCCAATTCCCACTCCTGCAATGGCTGAACCGTTCCATCCCATTCCCCTAATACCCAACCGTGAAAAACGGCGCTTGACAGCTACGTTAAGTTGCCGGCAAAAAACGTCAGCGTAAAGCTGACGTTATGCAACGCATAGACAACAGCAAACATATGCAAAACACATCCCGGAAGCACTGATTCTACTAAGCAGAGCGGTGGTCACATAGCGCTGGTGGCAATTGGTATGGTGGCACTTCATAATAGATATCGATCGCGCGACCAAGCGTAAAAGCCCCGTAACAGACGGCAAAAATTCAAACCGCCCGTTTTCTTCATCCAGGAGAGAAAGTGAGAAGTCACGCGTCTAAGAAACGCGAGCGGTATTGTCCCTGCCTGGTGGTCTACGACTGGTGCTGTAATCGCACATGGTCACAACAGCCACATCGTCGCGTCTCGCGGCGCCAGACAACTCTACAGTTTTGGTCGCTTCACTGGGGGCGCCACTTTCATCCTCGAAGGAACATGCGCCGCGGTCAGATAACCAAGCCGCCAGTTACCTGAAGTGCAGTGATGTTGTTTCAAAAGCCCCCTTGACCACGTGGACAGAGCTCGCATGTGGACAGAGCTCGCATAAGTACAGAGCCCCCATTCCCACTCCATTCCGGACAAAATGTACCTATGTCATTCCATTCCCATTCCATTCCTCCCATTGCTGCGACTCCATTCCCATTCCGTTCCGGGGTCGTGGAAGGGCGGCATGATTCAGGGATTATTCCAAGATCGGATTGGCAACTCCGCAACACTGCCACCCAGACGCTTCTTTTCTTCGTCCACGCTTGATTTCATAATATAACATAAATCCGCGGATTGCGTGTCGGTGGGGCTTCAAATTTAGCGGATGCGCTTCGGATGTGGATACGGAGCATGCGGATCGGATGGGGTTACAGTAATTTATGAACATTGAGGATGCGGTTCGGGTGCGGATACAAGGCCTGCGGATGCGGATCGGATGCGGATGATCAAACTGTTATCCGCGCAGGGCGCTACCTATGTTCTTAGAGGTTCAACCGAAAATCTGCGAAAGATGTCTCAGAAACTAAAACGAGTGCAACGCTTTGTACAACTACACATGAAGTAGCCTACCTGACTACCCTTGTGCAAAGGAAGAGAAAAGCAACTCCAGACATACTTATCGAATTGTTTTACTTTGTAATTTTGTTCTTTTAGAGTGGATGACTAGCACATCAATGTTGTAGACTCTGTTCAGGATAACTCATTTGAACATTTTGTGTTTTGTGCTTGCTGGCCTCAGGCCATTTGCATCTAGAAAGTGGAAAAGTAAAAGTGGAATTACTTTATTTTTTATTATATTAATTTCTGATCTTGTAGCGTTATCTTTTACACTACTCAGTCGAAACATGCAGATTGAATCAACATTAGTTTTTCAACAAACATAACTGTTGCAATTATTTCATATATAGGTATTCATATAACCATTGTGCAAGGAGCTAACTTGGATATCACTGCAGATATCAGGAAAGAACAAAAGAGGGTCAATAAATAAAACTTTCTAAATTGTGACTTCAAAAATTGTTTGGCTAGTGAAAAAAAAATGATCAAATGAATTATCCTTTACATCGTAAGTTCTCAAACTGCATCACACAATATATTTTCTAAGGATTCCACACTAAACACCATTTCTCCTCATCACACCAGGTTGGCAATTTAACCCCTTACATCACTGAATGTAGCTAGCACAATGCTGCCTTCGAATGCAGTTTACAAAGGTCTAATCCCGTTGAGGTTATAATAAATGTCCTAGCTGATGTTTTGTAAATAAAGGGCTAAGTGCATTACACTTATGTTGCACAGCAAAAACAACTACGAATGACAGAAATTATAGCGTTTCAGATAGTCTTGAAATAAAATATTTTCTGCGCATGACAACTCAAAGTTTTCAAAAAATGCAGAACAATTTTCACAGCCCTCTTATGAAGGAAGGGAAACGCTTCAGCCCCAGAGCTTTCTGCCTTGCTTTGAAAAATAGTTCTTGAGCCTTGTTGAGCAAGGACATTGCATACCTAAGAATGTTTTTGCAGGTCCCCATTTAAGAACTAGTCTTTTAATTTAGTGATGTGATTTGAGATGGTATGCATGTTTGCCCATCAAAACAATTGGTTACAGAAGCGCCACAAAATTTCACTTGAGATGAAGACAAGATCTCAATCATAGTGTAATCAGCTATTACAAGCAGTCAGTGTAATTAACTTTTCATATAACGATAAAGGAGTGCATCATTGAAGAGGACACTGCAGTTTCAATGGGGTCACTGCATCTTCACATAACTATCCAATATTCAGTGGAAAATTCTCAAGACAAGTTAGGCATGGCCCCACATCTTTGACCTCAATTCATCATTCAACACACTTGTCTGTGTTTGTTTTTTTAACCCTCCACTCTTTTATTACCCTTTCTTTAAATATGCAGAGAACTCAGTATTTCCAATATTTTGCTGGATACCAAAGAAATAGACCAGGTCCCAGAACCAGACCTTGTTCATACCATTTTACCATGTTTGTGTGTACCTAGGAACAAATTAGCCATTTCCGTCAACCTGATGTGACCGACACCCCCCCAATTCCTCCCCCCCCCCCCCCTCCTTAAATGTCTACTATCAACTCCAGTGCCACAAACACCTGCCAAAGCAAATGTTCTGGCACTATGAAGAATAAAGCAATGGTTGCCATTCAGCTTGAGGCACATTCCAATTCACAATGGGGATTGAAATGGTAGTTTCGAAGCAACAGGAAATACACTATAGATTAACCAGTCCTGAAATGCTTATGCCGACGCACAAAGCTATCGAAATGCCATCGAGATTTCTCCATCATTCTGACTTTGCTGCAGAGAAAAAGTGTGTGGTGGGAAAGCCGCATCTACTAAAAAGTTGCACAACCAATTTGTGGTCATGAGTAACTATGACGTAGATGCAGATCAGAGAGCCAGAAAAGCTCTTTTTAACCCTGTTTATTCTTAAATGCTATACCTTTCCAGGCACAGTTTGAAGTGCCACAAAATGAATGTGTATCAATAAAGACATTTTTTTAAGAACCGAACCATGGTACTAAAAACAGTTCACCAGTTTGAGGAAGCCTTGTAACAAATCCATGCCATCTTTTTTTTTTTAATGTTATGTGCCTGCTTTATTGAACAATAAAAATACATAATAAAAAGGCAAACTATCTCACAGAGGGAAGTAGTCATCAGTGATTCTGTTCTGGTTCTCCAGGTAGAAACTGAAGAGTGCAGCTCCAACCGATGTTACAAAAGAGAAGCATGGTTTGTAAAGGGGAGGACTTGACAAGGAAACACCTAAAAAAATACCGTCGCAATAATAATAGCAACTCAAGAAACAAAGATAAACCCTTGTAATGATGCAGCTGCCCCCTTGAAGTTGTTTGGAATACGTATAAGTTGCCACTAACCAAACCATACCTCTCTAAATCCCTCCCTGGTAATCTGGGAAAAAAGCTCCAAAATAAAATACTGCTTACCAGAGCTGCTCCTTTTTCGAACTGGCCTCAATCTTTGGGGTTGCCGAATGTCCTCCATTAGCCGGTCATGCACGGATGTTTCTTGACGCGGTGCAGGCTTGAGTTTTCTTCTGGAGGCCTGAAAAGCAAAGTCTTCAATCAAACACATACACTCTTAACTTCCCATCAATCTTGGAAAGCAACTAGCAACGCATTACCGGTAACATAACTATCTACTTTTTTCAGTACCTTGTAACTGTAACTTGTTACTGCTTAGTGAAAATAACTTGTAACTGTAACAAGGTTACTATTTTTTTAAAGTAACTGTAAAGAGTAACGTTGTTACAGTTACTACTCAGATTGATGTGCAAAAATATTGCAAACATGACAATTAAATCGTCGCGCAACTCGTGAGGGAGTCCCAAGTCCTGCTACAAAAACCTACTAAAGCACAAAAAAAAAAAAAAAAACTAAACTTTGGATGACCCTGTTTGGCAAAGCTGGTCCCACCAACTGGGAGGATGGGGATGCTTCATTGTTGTCTTGCATTTGTTTCCCAGTCTTTTGAATGAGATAAGGCCTAGGCAGTAAAGACTGGCTTCGTTTTCCAGAGCTTCTGTGCTTAATAGGTAACTTGCCCCTTTCTTCCTATTGTTACCTACAGTTGTAGATGATCAGCCCGAAGAACATTCACTGAACATGTGCACCTGTGCACATAGAAGGAAAGGCAGGACACTTGCTTAGTAATAGAGAAGGCAGCGAATACGTTGTCAGACTTGAAGCGGAAGCAGACAGAGACCAAGGCATAAAATGTAAGTAAACAAAGCTTTCCAGTGAACTAAAAAAAAAATGTGTGTAGGCTCTATGGTGGCAATGCAGATCTTGATATAATAGCTCATTGCCTATACTTCGTTTTTGACCTTTATTTGTCATGGAGGACTTACATTCCGCACAATCTTTTTGGGAAACGGGGACATCCATATTAACGGGGCATGACGGCATATCAGGTGAATATGTAAAGTCACACACAGAACAAAGATACTGCCGTAAGAAGCCCGAAATCAGATGATTAAAACATTGGGCACACAGCACTTAGTATAAAAGTGCTTCAATTTGTTGTGATACCTGTTTAAGAAGTAGGGTAAAGGTATGGTTTCAATAAACTGCAAAACATGTAGCGCCATGCACCCTTACTGAAAGGTATTCTGGGAACGACCTCCACTGTGCTTTCGCGGGTGTCGGTGACTCCACGACTGCCCGCATGAATAGTGACCACTCAGAACTCTCGACACCTCTGGACAGTTTCTCAGTCATGTCTTCATCAGTCAAATCAGAAGTCAGATCAGAAGTCAGATCTTCATATTTGTGCAGTGACTTTGGACAGAACAGTTGTAACCAGTTACATGGTTGGCAGTTTTTAATCTGTCTTAACGTGGTGGTGATTAAGGCAGAGTCAGGTGGAGATTCGGGCTGCCAGAGGACGGAGGAAATGCAGGGGAGGGAAGGCAAGCAACTGTCCTGCCCTTTTTCTCTGCCTGTTTTGCTTTCTCCTGTATTACATGGTACATGCTGTGGGGGCAAGGACGCTTCCAAGATTCGTACATGCCTTGCGAGTGGCCTTTTCTGATTTTTACAAAACGGCCTATTAATCATCCAAGAAAAACAGTAAAACAGACACTTTTAGAAATATTTAAGGTGCATGCAGCATTATAATGCATTCCACAAAACCCCATACAAGAATGCCCCACCATACCCTGTTAGCTTTTGGCAGACAGGTGCAACCATAAGAAGGCATATTCCTGTTTTGGTTTTCTCTTCATTGTTGGACTTAAAATGCAGTCAATACATATAGGGTGTATTGAATATTAGTTGTATTTGAGTTGCAATAAAAGGCAGTATGTGGCTTCCCTCCTTCAAATAGTGGCTTATTTAGTGGTTTTTGATAATGTAAAGCAAGTTCCTAATTTCAACTAGATCTTAACCTTCAGTAATAAAAAACTATTAAAACATTTGATGACTTGCCTAATAGTTATTAGAAACTTTAGGACAACAAAGGGTAGACAGTTGCTTAACCAACTGAATACATTTTCTATTTTATTGAGTGTGGAGAGAAATTCAAGGTCTAAAATGTATGGTGTGCCAGGCTTGTAATTAAGGGATTTCAGGAGATGCAAACAGATGCGAGCTGTGCAATAAACCAGTTGCATTTTCCATTTTGTTCAGTATAGCATGAGATGCACTGCTGCATAGTATGGAAGGTTTGAAACAGTGAGTGTAAGGATGCTAATTCAGAAATTTTGGGAGATGGAAGCAGTTGAGAGTTCCTCAATAAACTAAATATACTTGCTATTTTGTTGAGTTGAACTGGTGCCAGGTATTTAAAGTATGAAATGTTAGGTGCGTGAGGAAATGAGAGGAGACAATCAAGGAAGTTTGGGAGACGCAAGCAGTTGACAGTGAAGCAACTGAATGCACCTGCCATTTTGTTCAGCATGGAATGAAATACACTGCTATATGGTAAAAAGAAGTCTGAGGCAAAAGGTGTGCTTGGATGACACATAAGAAATTTCAGGAGATGCAAGTAATTGAGAGCTACTGAATCATCCAAATTCATTTCACATTTTGCAGTGCATTCCATGCAGCAGAGCATGGAATGCACTGCTGCATGGTACGTAAGATCTGAAATATAATATGTATGAGGCTGGTTAATTAAGTGGCTTTTGAAAGATGCAAGCAGTTGAGAGCTAGTCAATCAACAATTTGCATTTTCCAATTTGTTGTTTATTGTATGGCATAAATTGCTGCATTATGCAAGGTCTGAAACATAATACGTGAGGCAAGTAACAAAGGATTCTCATAAGATGCGAATGGTTGAGAATTGCTCAATCAACTGATTGAATTTTTCACTTTCTTGAGTATGCTATAGATTGTATACAGGCACATAGCCAGGATTTTGATTCGGGGGGAGGGGGGGGGGGGGGGGGGGGCCTGCCCATGACAAAATGCTGTATGAGGGAGAGGGGGGAGAGGAGGCCCCAGCAAAATGGAAACCCCCCCCCCCCTCCTGGATAGATGCCTGATTATATAGCTGTATAGCATGCAAGGCCTGAAATAATATGATGTATGAGGCAGGCAATTAAGAAATTTCAAGATATGCAAATGGTTGAGAGTTATTCAATCATATTGCAGTTTTCACTTTGTAGAGTATGACAAGAAATGCACTGCGGCATGGTATGGAAGGCTTGGAACAGAGAGCGCAAGGCTGGTAATTCAGGAATTTCAGAAGAGGCATACAGATGAGAGTTGCTCAATCAACTACATCTTTCACAAGATGCGGTTGTGTTGTCCCTGTTTTAATTGTTTTATTCTTTCTTCATCCGTGACCCAAACCAACACGCTCTTCTCCCAAGCGTGCTCAAACAACCGATTGCATTTTCCACTTTTTTTTTCAGTATGAGATAAAATGTGCTGCTACATGGAATGGGAGATTTGAAACATACAGTGTGTGACGCTGGCACAAAAAGGAATGCAGCACAGTATGGAAAGTTTGAAACAGGGTGTGTGAGGCTGACAATTCAGGAATTTCAGAAGATGCCTATGGTTGAGAGTTAACTCGACCAACCGAATGCATTTTATATTTTGTTGGGTATGACAAGAAATGCACTGCTGCGTGGTATGGAAGGATTGAAACAGAGTGTGCGAGGCTGGCAATTCAGAAATTTCAGAAGATGCATACAGATAAGAGTTGCTCAATCATCCGATTGCATTTTCCATTTTGTTCAGTATGAGATAAAATGTGCTGCTACACGGTATGGGAGGATTGAAACATACAGTGTGTGAAGCTGGCATAGAAAGGAATGCTGCACTGTATGGAAGGTGTGAAACAGGGTGTGTGAGGCTGATAATTCATGAATTTCAGGAAATTCCTATGGTTGAGAGTTACTCGACCAACCAAATGCATTTTATATTTTGTTGGGTATGACAAGAAATGCATTGCTACATGGTATGGACGGATTGAAACAGTGTGCAAGGCTGGCAATTCAGAAATTTCAGAAGATGCACACAGATGAGAGTTGCTCAATCATCCGATTGCATTTCCATTTTGTTCAGTATGAGATAAAATGTGCTGCTACATGGTATGGGAGGTTTGAAACATACAGTGTATGAGGCTGGCATAGAAAGAAATGCTGCACGGTATGGAAGGTTTGAAACATGGTGTGTGAGTCTGATAACTCAGGAATTTCAGGAGATGCCTCTGGTTGAGAGTTACTCGACCAACCGAATGCATTTTATATTTTGTTGAGTACGACAAGAAATGCCCTGCTGCATGGTATGGCAGGATTAAAACAGAGTGTGTGAGGCTGGCAATTCAGAAATTTCAGAAGATGCATACAAATGAGAGTTGCTCAATCAACCGATTGCATTTTCCATTTTGTTCGGTATGATATAAAATGTGCTGCCACATGGTATGGGAGCTTTGAAACATAGTGTGTGAGGCTGGCATAGAAAGGAATGCTGCACGGTATGGAAGGTTTGAAACAGGGTGTGTGAGGCTGATAATTCAGGAATTCCAGGAGATGCCTGTGGTTGAGAGTTACTCGACCAACCGAATGCATTTTATATTTTGTTGAGTATGACAAGAAATGCACTGCTGCATGATATGGACGGATTGAAACAGAGTGTGCAAGGCTGGCAATTCAGAAATTTCAGAAGATGAATACAGATGAGAGTTGCTCCATCAACCGATTGCATTTTCCATTTTGTTTGGTATGATATAAAATGTGCTGCCACATGGTATGGAAGCTTTGAAACATAGTGTCTGAGGCTGGCATAGAAAGGAATGCTCCACGGTATGGAAGGTTTGAAACAGGGTGTGTGAGGCTGATAATTCAGGAATTTCAGGAAATGCCTATCGTTGAGAGTTACTCGACCAACCGAATGCATTTTATATTTTGTTGAGTATGACAAGAAATGCACCGCTGCATAGTATGGAAGGATTGAAACAGAGTGTGCGAGGCTGGCAATTCAGAAATTTCAGAAGATGCATACAGATGAGAGTTGCTCAATCAAACAATTGCATTTTCCATTTTGTTCAGTATGAGATAAAATGTGCTGCTATATGGTATGGGAGGTTTGAAA